CGACAGGGTTTACTTCAAAACCCTTAAGTAGGGGCCAGCAGGTGATGTGGTGGTTAAAGGCACTGGACTCCCACATGGCCAACCATGGTTCAAGTCCTGGACCTGGTGGCTTGCTTTCTCACCGCACCCCCTGCCCATCTCTCTCTGATCAAACTGAAAAATAATGATAATACAGTTAAATAAAGTAATTCTTTTTTAAAAAACAAACCCTTAAGTATCATACTTTAAAATGACCACCTGCTCGCAAAAGTAGGAAGGATTTTGAGTGAAAGCAAGCAGGTGTAGTATACTGGGGAAGGACCTTGGCTCAGGGCCGGGCCAGCCTGTGTTCAGATCCTGGCTCTGCTCATCAACTGCTGGATCTTGGGCTAATCATTTCAACCTTTCTGAACCTCAGTTTCCTCGTCTGAAAACTGGGCACGATAACCACTTAGTGGGGCTGGAGTGAGAGTTCAGAAACTCCCTCCGCCAATAGGATAAGCTAGCACAGGGTAAACGCTCGGGACAGCACTGCCATCAGGAACAGTGAATCCATCTGCCAGGAGATGACATGTAAGGGAGCTGAGGCCCCCAAAAGGTGACTTGACCAAGATCCTTAGCTTGTGGGTGTCAGAAGAGCACAACCCAAGTCCCCAGCTTCTAGTACGGCTTAGCACCTGCCACTGTAATCATGGCTCTAGAGGGAGGATGAACAAAAGCTGACAAGATGGGAGCCTCCCGGAAGCAGCCTCTCCCAAATCTGAGGGGAGTGACACATCGCTGGAGCGCCCTGAGGGCGAGTACTTCAACTCCTGTGCCTCTAGGGCAGCACGTGGCTCAACCAGGTTCAATGTACAAAAATTCTCCATTTACCAGCGTTAAGGTTACAGATATCTACATATCTGTGCTCAGAGTTGCCAGAGTAGGAGAGGACAAAAAAGGTGAAATTGGATTTGTTATTAATACATTATCACGATAGGTGGGTGAATCTAGTCCTACTTTTAGAGAAGTCCGTAACAGGAAATGGAAATTTTTACGTTACATCACGCTTCTTTAGAAATTTCAATCTCCCTCCCCACCACCACCTCTGATCAGCACATCACTTACAGAATGAAGACCACTTTGTAGAATGGTGTCAGTGTCCTTGAATAGGAACATTTGCATGCCATAAATGTTGGGGTCCTAATTTCACCTTACCTCTGTCAAAATTGTACTGCTGGGAGATGATCTCCCCCCAGTATTTAGCACACTCTGCAGAGAGTTTCTTTGGTTTGTCTAGCCGACGAATCGCTAATGCTTGGATGTGTTTCTGGAAGGCCTCTTCCGTCATGTCCTCTATGGACTTCTCCATGGTAATTAGGAACGCTTCCACGCGGCTTTCCAGGTAGTGAGGGGGCTTTTCTGACTGGATGATGAATCTCAAGCCCTGAATGCCGTTGGCTCGGCGTGGCCCACTGAAGACGATGTAGCCTGAAACAGACGCCAGCCAGTCAGAGCCTTGGCATTTCAGCTCAGGGCCCTTTAAATCTTCCCCAAACGATCCTTCCGAACAAATAATATCTACGTTAAAGCTTCAGACCGTTTAGCTCTGAAGAAGCATGACCTTCAGTGCCTCTGGGTCCCCCTTGGACAGAGTCACCTCCGCCTCATGGCCTTTATGGTTTGCACACCCTCACGTAACATTGACCACACCGCACTAGAGTCATTGCTGCATGGTCTGCCAAACTGGTTTCCCTGGGCTCCTTGAAGGGAAGGACTGTCCTGTAAGTTCTGGATGCCTAGCACCTGGCATACTGGGTGTTTTTAAATGAGAGGTCTCCAGACCTATCTAGAGACTGACTCAAATCTTTTTTCATTGGTTCTTTCCTGTCCTTACTGGGGCTTCTTCAGATATCTTTCCTCATGATTCAAACTGCCAGGATCTCTGAGACTTTGCCCAGTGCCCCAAACAATCGCTTATAGAGAACCTTCTATGTGTCTCAGGTGTGGATGTGAACATGAGCAACAGATGCTACCTGCCCTGAGGGGGCTCGAGGTGGGTGAACCGATACGCCTCTGGATGGCTTGCGTCCCATCTTGCTACCCACGAGTCTGCCCCAGCAACCTCTCCCTCCTACCTCACTTGTCCTCTTCACCTATACTAACAGAAACAGAGCCAACTCATTAAGAACGGCTTTCATGTCCATAAGGATTGACTGCTGGGCCAGCCAGAGGCGTGGTGCTTAGGGTAACAGCATCGCATGTGGCTGCCTAGGAGGTCTGTGTCCTGGACCCAGTGGTTTGAAAAATATGCTGGGCACATGTGCCTGTGTGCCCAAAATCGTGGAGGAGACTGAAGAAGGGATTGTGGTATGGCCATCCTTGCTAGGGGGTGATTTCTTACTCCCTCATCCTCACCCCCATCTCTCTCTCTCTCTGGTGAATGCACATGCCCTATAGCAAAAAAAATGGAAACAAAATACAAAAACTTATTGACTACTTATTAGGAGGCTTCTGTCAATAAGGTCTTTTTTTTTTTTTTTTTTTGGAGAGATTTTCACTGTAGGGAGCGTGCGCTCGCCAGACAGACAGAGAGAGACACAGAGACAGAAAGCGAGAAATCACCCCCCCAGGGGGGATGGTCACGCCGCAATCCCTTCTCCTCTCGGGATCTTGGGCACGCACGCACACGCACCCGGCGTGAGTTTTAAGCCACCGGGTCTGGGACACGAACCGCGGTCGACTACGTGGGAGTCCAGCGACATAGCCATTACGCTAACTGCTGGTTCCCTGTCAATAAGGTCTTTACAAATCTCTGAAAGGAGAGGGCCTGACACACCGTTTTCTGAGGCTAGCAGTCGTCCATGGAGGTCTATGGTACCTGCCCTCCCCACAAGGCCCCCTCACCCAGCTGCTCCTTGGTGCGCAGGGTGTTGAAGCAAGGCTCTGAGATGATCTGACAGAAGAGCTCCAGGAACATGTTCTCCGAGGTGCTCTGCATGTCTGTCTGATAGTAAATCTCGATGCCGCAGTTGTTGTGAACTTCGTTCCTCTGCTGGTAGACGAACCACCCTCCTAGGAAGTTTGAAAGCAAGAGCGACAGGTTCAAAACGTATGTAGGGTTTCACAAAACTACTACTGGGCTGGCCCCTCTTACGGACGGTAACCTAGACAGCAGTAGTAGGGAAGCCTGGAGTAGTGTCCCGGCCACCTCACTTTCTTGACCAAGGGGAAGCGATGCCAGACTTCCTGACTGCCCAGCGGCAGGAGGGAGGGGAATGTGGGCCGGGTTCCCCCGCCCCACACCACACACTGCAGGCCTTGCCACACGCTTCCTTAAGTGCCCCTTCTTCACGGTGCCTGGGATCCCTTTCACACCATGAATGTCCTCCCAAGGAGAGTGAAATGAAGGGTCAGCTACGGCATTC